CGATGTTTGCTTTAAGCTGCCTGGCTGCCGGCCGCCATCTTGGCTGTCAGTTAATTTGCATATCACCCTGATTAGCCAATGGGAAGGGTAGCGGTCGTATGCTAATTACCATGTTTCTCTTTTATTAGTGTAGATATAGATAGATTTTTTGTTGTTGTTATTGAATTGGAACATGATTAATAGACTGCTGCATTAGGCAGGGTATAAAGTAGGATTCAAAGTGACATTGATATAGAAAGGAAGACTGTGAAAGTGTTACTGGAGGAAGATGAGACCTTGATTCTTGTCTTGTGTTTTGTGCTGAGTTCCAAGCATGTCAAACCGACCACAAATTTGACATGTTTGTTGTAAGCACTCCTAATAGCCTCAGCGCCAAGAATTAGAAAAGTAGGGAAGTACGAGTTACTGACTACTGCTTGATGTCTTTAAGACATTTGAACCTGCCAAGAAAGATAATGAAAGTGTGGAAAATCAGGAAGAACCTACAATAGAAATGCTTTTGTTAGTGTTAGACCCATCTATATATATAAAAGGCTAATATGCTAAGTGTCCTTCCCACTGTCCGACCGGTCGCTATGACGCACACTGACCACCAGGGGGCAGACACTCAACACAGGAGCTGCTGTGCACGCACTTGCCATTTACAGAGACATGGCAGCGCAGATCTGGCACCCACAAAGCAACACTTGGCTTTCCCCAAGGGGGACACAGGCCCTGCCACCAGCCCGGAGCGACAGGCCACCAAATCGCAGCCAACGCTGCCGGGACCCCATGGTGCAAAATGCGGCCCACAGCTCAGCCCAACCCAGAAACGGTGGCTATGGGCGCCGGGTAATGACATCACATAGCAATGCCCAGCTTCCTCTTCCTAGCGACTAGGCTGCAGTTTCTTCAGCCCAGGAACACGACTTGCTTTATAGCCAGGTGCAAACATTTCACGCTAACCAAATGTCTGAAGTGTTTTCCCATGCCTCATCTCAGTGGAATCCTATTTCCTTTTCATTAACCGGAAAATGGAATTTAGAAAGCTTAGAAACTTGACCGGACTGAAAAGAAGTAAGATATGGTGGACCTTGAAAATGACTTTAGGTTTTCTCACTGCGCAGAATATAGTCAAACACTGCTACAGTTAAATGTTTTACCCTTTGTTCTCCCTGCATGATCTACAATAATAATGTACTTGTTGATATTTACTGCTGTGTTGCTGACAATTGCCTGAAAGAGAAGTTGGGGTGCTTCACTGGGCTGGAAAAAGTTTAGCTACATCAGAAAGCAGGTCTAATTAAGCAAGTTTATTCTATATCTATAAATGGCTAAGTTGACTCATGCATGCACGATACATATAAAGCTCTCGCTGGCGCCAATCACGTGTGTTTTGAACTGTCAGAACTGTTGCCTAATAACAAACAAGGCACTAGTAGTCATTGTACTCTTCATGGTCACATACTTGGGGGGGGGGGAGGTTTCATGTAAGAATATCTTTGGTGAAACAGTAAAAATTATTTTTATTAAATCCCAACCCTTGAGTACACATGTTTATAATATTCTGTGTGAAAAAATAGGAGATAAATATAAAGCACTTTTGCTGCAAACTTAAGTATGAAGGTTGCCTTATGGAAAACTACCTATGCAAATGTTTGAGTTATGAACTGAATTATCCACTTTTTTCATGGAACACTGTGATCTGACAAGCTGTAAACACTTGGATATTTGACAGACATTATCTCAAAAATGAGTTAAGTGAACCTTCCACTTCCAGGAAAACAACTGATAGTATTTGTTGTTAATGATAAAATTTGAGCCTTCAAGTGAAAATTTTGAAAAACTTGGCATCATGATCTTATAGCTTCCCAGACTTAAAGACTCTTCTGGATGAGATTGGTGGTAATATTAATGAGTAGAATTTTTAAAAAATAATGGAATTTAACATAAGAGTACAAAAAATTTATGATTTTTAAGACCCTATCCTTTCTTAAAATTTTATGTAGTGTCCAAGAAGAATATTGACAACTATCTGAAATAGCTGTTAAAATACTCCTTTTCCAACTACACATCTGTGTGAGGCTGAATACTTTTCATATACTTCAATAAAACAACCTATAGCAGCAGATTGAAAGCAGCAACAGATTTGAGAATCCAGATGTCTTCTATTAAGCCAGATAATAAAGAGATATTAAAATTTAAAGCAGTGTCATTCTCCTATACTAGTTTTTGTTGCAGTTTTGGAAAATATAGTTATTTTTCATTAAGCTATGTTATCCTATAGAATAAAACCCTAATATGCAAATCGACTGAAAGGAGGAACTACAGGTTGCTATGATGTGCACTGAGGTCGCTATGATGTGCACTGACCACCAGGGGGCAGATGCTCAATGCAGGAGCTGCCCCCTGGTGGTCAGTGTGCTCCCACAGGGGGAGTGCCGCTCAGCCAGAAGCTGGGCTCAAGGCTGGCGAGTGCAGTGGTGATGGTGGCAGCAGCAGCGATAAGGATGTCCAACTGCTGGACCGCAAGAGGGCATAGGCCAGGCTGAGGGTCCCCCCACCCCAGTGCACAAATGTTGTGTACTGGGCTGCTAGTTTATAATAATGTATCATAGGTTCTTTATTGTGTGTGTGTGGTTTTTTTAGTGAATTAATATTTTTACATTTTTGTTTTAATTTTGAATACAGTAAATATCAGTAGATACAATCTACACCTCATTGGGGTCCTCATTAATTTTAAAGAGTGTAATTGGGTCTGAGTCAACAAAATTGGAAAATTTCTGCAGTAGCATTTGCCACTGGTACGTGAATATTTGTTTCAAGATTGGTCATCTCCTCTTCTCCTTGAATCAGGTTTACTAGAAGCAACCAGATGTTTAGATGAAAGATTGACCAGCACTGCTGGTTAGGAAATGGATTTTGAGAACTTCAAGAGAGAGTAGGTGGAATGCAGCCAGAGGAAACATTCTGATATTAGCTTTGAGGCTTTCAAAATTGCTTTATATCCCAAATCACATAAGAGTTAGAAGTAACGGGGAGTAGATAGAAATGTGTGTTTATTCAACTAAGACTTTATTTGGTTCATCTATTACTTTGAATGCACAACACCCTGTGGGCCAACCGTCTAGCCACTTCTGGACACAGCCATAAAAAATGTCTCTTAGCTGCAATCACAGGAGATAAGAGCAAAGCAGTCTTTGTTGTAAAACACTAACTGATGAACAATTCAGTGCTTAACTCTGTATAAGGCATCTCTCATCGTTCATTCTGAAATACAAATTAAAATACTTTTCCTATGTTATCCAGTTTTGATTTTTCTTTTGTAAATTGTCTGTTCATATCTTTGGACTCTTTTGAGGCCTTGTTCTTATCATTTATATCTGTATATGCTCTTAATAAATTAAAATCTTCTCTGTATATTAAAGATTACTAACCTCCTCTATCACATTGATTAAAAATGTTCCTTCTAGTTTGTTGTTCTGACTTTAATTTTGTGGACTTAAAAAAGTGAATATTGCCCTAACTGGTTTGGCTCAGTGGATAGAGTGTCGGCCTGCGGACTGAAGGGTCCCAGGTTCGATTCCGGTCAAGGGCATGTACCTTGGTTGCGGGCACATCCCCAGTGGGAGGTGTGTAGGAGGCAGCTGATCGATGTTTCTCTCTCATTGATGTTTCTGACTCTCTATCCCTCTCCCTTCCGCTCTGTAAAAAATCAATAAAATATATATTTTTAAAAATGAATATTGTTCCCCTCCTCCACTGCTGTCCTCAGATTGTAAGTTCTTTGTGGAAATGTTGGATAACTGTATGATATTTTCTTATGAGGAAGACCCTAATCTGTTTAATCATTCCCCTATTCTATCTGTTTAGTTTTTTCTATGTTTTAAACAATGCTGCACTATATATGGTATCCATGCTTTTTTTTTTTAGTCTCCATTTAGAATATTTTCATATAATATCTTCCTAGAGAAAGAATTCAGTGTACAGGTACATTATTAATGCATGGTTGATTAGTTTATTTCAGATACAAAACTCTAGACACTGTTAGCTGTCGGCTATGGTGTTTCTAAAAGCAGCCATTTGATTACTTGTAGGACTCTGGTATATAAATATAGTTCCAGCACTGGGCGTTGGGACCACACTTGGCAAGGCCAGTGATTCCAAAATACCTCCCCTGGGCTTTGTGAGGGGTTGGCCAACTTTTCTATAAAGGGTCAGATAATAAATATTTTAGGCTTTGTGTGCGACATGGTGTCTATACAGCTACTCAGCTCTCAACTCAGCTACTCCACTGTAGTGCAAAAGCAGCCAGAGATTGTGTCAGTGAATAGTTGGGTCTGTGTCCCAATAAAAGTTTATTTATGGACATGAAATTTGAATTTCAGATAATTTTTATGTGTCACAAAATATTCTTGTTTTTTGTTTTTCCAATTATTTAAAACTATAAAATATGTTCGTAACCTGCAAGCCATACCAAAATAGGCAATGGGCTGGATATGGCCTGTGAGCCATGGTTTGCCAATAGGCTATGTCATTGGTGACTTGGCAATAGGCATTTATTATATTGGGATCTCTGGATCTACTGCAGTGATATGGTAAATTTATCAAGAAAGCCCTTACTTTCAGAATGTGTCTGATAACTACCTTTCATATTTTGTATTTCAGCTGGGGTTAACCGAATTTCATATTGGCCTGCTGATCCAGAAATAAGTTTGCTTTCTGAGACTTCTACTTCTGAAGATGCAAAGTTAGATGCCAAAGCAGTGGAAAGATTGAAATCAAACAGTAGGGCCCATGTGTGTGTCTTGCTTCAGCCTTTGGTGTGTTGTATGATGCAATTTGTAGAAGAAACCTCTTATAAATGTGACTTTATTCAAAAAATGGCAAAAACATTTCCAGATACTACATTTTATTCCAAATGTAGACAAGAAAGAATAAAAGAATATGAACTGTTATTTTTTGTTTCAAATGAAGAACTACATAAGCAGATTCTGATGACTATAGGTTTGGAGAATCTATGTGAAAATCCATATTTTAGCAATCTAAGGCAAAACATGAAAGATCTTATTCTACTTTTGGCCACAGTAGCTTCCAGTGTGCCCAACTGTAAACACTACGGATTTTATTGTGACAAGACTGAACAGAGTAATGAAATTCACAATCAGAGTTTGCCACAAGAAATTGCAAGGCACTGCATGGTTCAGGCCAGGTTATTGGCATATCGAACTGGTAAGTTATATGCTTAGTTCATGAATTGGGGTTTATCAGTTGGTTGTATTTATCTCAGAAGTAAAGGGGTTCATCTCATCTATGGTAGAACTCACTTATTCTCAGATACTGAGTTTTGCTGGTCATATGTACAACATATAGAAATTAGTGAGACCCTTGAGTAGACAACTCTTCCTCAGAATGGTTATAGGATTCCTTGTGGCCTTATAATTTGGTGCTACATGCCCTGATTATCTAGGCCCTCCTTTCTGCTTCTTGTTTTTATCATTTCACTGTTCATTGATCCCTCCACTAGAGATGGAACAAAAAGAGAGAGGGAACCAAGTCATTCATTTTTGTTAACTCTTCAATATTTTATATGTATTCAATATTAATAAAAACTTTAAAAATCTTTACAATATATGAATTCAAAATAACTAGCAGAATCAAAGTAAAAGAATATTGGCATATTTTTCCAATTGCTAATTAGTATGTCGCAAGTAGAGAAATCAAACATTTTTACTTTTTTTAAGTTATGCATGGCCATATATGTGAAAACAAAAAATATTTCCTGGGGATTTTCTTTATTGTAATAAAAGATAGCATCTCTATTCCCAATTATAGAATACTGTTTTTACATCTTATCAGATGTAAAATATTTCAAAGTAGAAGAATCATCACTTTTTAAAATGCAACTTGGAAATAAGGAAAAAAAATGCAGGCAGGAGGAGCAATAGAGTAAGATTTGATGAGTGGAATATAGTAAAAAAAAAATTTAATTTATCTCAAGAAAGAAGGTAAACAGGAAGTCTTCAGAAAAGGTTCAGTCGTGGCTCGGTTGAGCATCGACCAAGAGATTGCTGTTCGATTCCTGGTCAGGACACATGTCCAGGTTGTGTGCTCGATCCCCAGAAGGCGGTGTGCAGGAGGCAGCCGATTGATGTTTCTCTCATCTATGTTTCTATCTCTCTATCCCTTACCCTCCAAAAATGAATAAAAACATTTTTTGAAAGAAAAGGTTCATATAAATTTCACTGGCGTGCAATGTATTCTAAACAAAGACCATAGGTCAAAGTAATTTCAGTAGAATGGAAGCTCTCATCTGGCAGTATATCAGAATCTCTGAAATTTTATTAAAAAACAAATGTTCACATTTCAATCCAGACTAAACCAAGTCCCTAAGGGTATGGCCAAGGCTTATAAGTTTTTAAAGTTCTGCAAGGAACTTTGACATGCAGCAGGTTTAATAAACACTCAATTCTTATTAAGGAATTTGATATTAGCTCAGCTGGAGTGGCTCAGTTGGTTGGAGCATAGTCCTATGCACGGAAAGGTTGCTGGTTCGATTCCCTGTCAGGGCACATACATGGCTTGAGGGTTCGATTCCCAGTTGGGGCACATACAGAAGGCAGTGGATTGATGTTTCTCCCTCACATCGATCCTTCTCTTTCTTCCCCCCGCCCCCTTCTCTTCCCCTTCCTTCCTTTTTCTAAGGGTGTCCTTGGGTGAGGATTAAAAAAAGAGAACTCTGGGTGGTGAGCTCAGAGGTTAGAGCAAGTGCCAGTGCTTCACCAAAGGATCACAGGTTGGATTCCAGTCAAGGGCATGTACCTGGTTTGTAGGTTTGATCCCTGGCCCCTGTCAGGGCACATGGGGGAGGGAACCAATTGAAGAGTTAGGAAGCCATTACATCTTATCTACCTGGTTTAAGTGTGATTTTTTAAATCGCTTTTTTGGGGGTCCTGCTTTCCCAGTAGACTAAGCATTTTCCAAAGCTGAAGATTATACCTTCCTCCTGAACCACAATGTTGATGACAAAAGTAGGTTGGAGTAGCCAAGGAAGTTTTTGTCTCCGCATTTTTTATGCTTTCTTGGTGCACCCCCTAGTGGTCTTTGTGCGCAGTCTTGTTCTAGTTGAGCCTTGATTGTTGTAGTTAATACTAGAGGGATTTGACCACCAGGCCGACTGGCTGTGTGAATCAGCTGTGTCTGCCGCGGAAAACTTCTGTCCTCTGGGGAGGTGCTAATCTAGCCTTTGCCTGAGGCGATCTGGCAAATGGCTCTGCGCAGGGCTTGGGCGGGGCGGGCTCAACAGGGCGGGCGGAGGGAGCCGTTATGGTGCCCTCAGTCCTGTTCCCAGAGGCTCTGCTTCTCAGAACCCCCGGAACCGCTGCAAACCTCGGAGGGAAAGCTGCCTTCCAACTGATGCCAGACACTCCCGCTTCTCCCGTTTGGGTCCGAGTCCCCAGCGATTCGCCCGTATCTGGAGCTCAGAGTCTGAGACTCCCCCCTGACCGAAAACGACAACCGCGCTCTCAGCCACCAGCCCGCTTTGCGCGCGCACCTCCGCACCTGAGTATTTTCCACACTGCGCCTCCTCTGAGCCTCGGTGTGCTGTTATTTTTCCTTCTAGTTGAAGAGTCTCTCCTCAGCCAGCCTTCCTGCGGTTCTGGGTGATGTCCGTTCCGTCTTTTAGTTGTATTTTTGAAGTGGTTGTTTGCGGCAGCAGTCTGCGGTGTTTACCTATGCCGCCATCTTGGTCTCTCCCTTATCTACCTGGTTTAAGTGTGATTTTTTAAATCGCTTTTTTGGGGGTCCTGCTTTCCCAGTAGACTAAGCATTTTCCAAAGCTGAAGATTATACCTTCCTCCTGAACCACAATGTTGATGACAAAAGTAGGTTGGAGTAGCCAAGGAAGTTTAATGTTTCAAACTATAACTCATTGGTTCTCAACTTTTAACAGAGGGAATGCTTATGAGAAATACAGATTCCTCTGTCTTCCCGCCTTCCATGGAGAGGTTGATTTAGGGCATTTCCATGGGAGGCAGGAGGCTGCCTTTGTAACAAGCAGCCGGTGATTCTGACACAAGTGGCTTGTAGACCACATGAGCAGACTCTGACAAGACCACAGAATTGGGAGCTAAAGTAACCATGCCTGCGTTCTAGAACCCTAGTTAATCTGACTCTTAGTGATCAGAGTCTCGGGAATTTGGAAGTTGACCATTCCTTCAAAAGTGTACATGAAGACACTGAATGACTAGAGCAATTTCTGTAAAAATTACAGACATGAAAAGCTTTTTGAGAAATGACCTAATCTGTCAGCCAACGTTAGGGCTGAGTGAAATCTAATATAGATGAAATTTCATTTTGATTTTAACATATACAAAGTAAAGAATATTCTCGTGGTGTGACTGACCTCAGATAGGCAATAGAGTTGCATTGCTGGTGGAAAGTCCCCTCTTGACAAGGTTTAGTTTGCCCCCAAATGGAAACAAAAGTGGCTCCTGAGTTTAAAAAAACACAACATGAAAATTACTCAATGTACATGGTAGCAAAAGTAGGCTCTTAATCTGAAGAATTTCTATTTCAGCTTTTTATTTTTTGTTTCAGATTTATGCATGTATTAAGTATAATTTTACTTCCAATATAGGTTTTGTAGAAAAATATACTCTTATGTTTATGACTTCTGCCACTTGCCTTAGAAATGATCATAAAGCCATAATTATATTCTTTTCCCCTCATGCTTTATTCTGAAGGTCTATTTCAGTTACACCCAAATCCCTCTTATGACAGTTCCCACTCTAGAGTAAGCCCTCCTCCTCCCATGCACTCTATTCCTTAGCATTGTATTAAATTTCTGCACAGCACAGCACAGAGGTGTTTCCTTGTTCCTGTCTTCCTTCCTCATCAGACAGACTGTAAGTTTCATGAATATAAGGACTTCTGTTTTCCTCACCACTGTATACTTGGGCACTCAATGAAGGGAAATGTTTCTTATGAAATTCTTAATGTCAAAGGAGGGATAGAGGAAAGGCAAAGTAGGTTAGGTTCAGATGGCTAAATTTTAGTCACTTAATTTCTTTGCCTGTTTTCTCATCTAGAAAAGGAAATTTTATATGCTTTACTGTTAGGGTGAAAAATGAGGCAATGAGTAAAAAGTGCTTAAAATAAATTATGCAAATGCTTTATAAGATAATTTTAAAAACCTGAGTTTGCTTTAACTAAAGTTGGGGAATTTTATTATAGTATCATAACTTTCAAAAATTATTTATGAGGCATCCTAATTTTTAATACATAGGTGAAATAAAGTTTCTTTATACTTTTATTTAGAAAGTTAAGTATTTAAATGTTATCATTGGAAGGATTACTTGTAAGAAAATTATAGGATGAAGCCACAATTTCATTTAATCCTCACCAATATGAAAATGTTCTAGCCCAAGATCATAGATGATTGTTATTTTGTGTAAATGTACCTATTTCACTATATTCATCCCTTATTAAGAGTTTGATAAATACTATGGTTTTCATAATTACTGTATAATTTTCTTAGAAATTTGTACTCACCCTTGTATTAGTAGAAGGAAAAAGTCAACCCTTTATGTGTAGAATTTCTCTTTTGGTTTTAAAATTTTGTTTCATATTAATGGTTTTAAGAAATACAGCTTTACTTATTGCAGACATTTTGGTTCTGCAGGAAAATTATAGTCTCAAAATTGATTTAGAAATGAGCATCATGTAATTAATTGGGCTATCCTACCTCCCCAAAGGCAAATTATGAAGGTCAGGGAAAGGACAACATAGTGTTCAAATCAAAATCCCCTTCATGGATCTTTCCAGCAATATAAATATATGAAAGCCCATAAATATTTATTTATGTTTGTATTATACATCTGAACATTTTTCATAGCAAGAACATTTGCGTGAAATGTATTTTTCATGATTAGAGTATAAAAAATTCTAGAAGACAGACTTGATTGTTGTGTGACTGTTTATTACATTAAATCCATTAGTTCAGAAATTTGTTTTTCAAACAGTTTTATCATCCGTTAGAAATAGTCATTTAGAAACTGACTTGTTGGTGGAGAATCAATAGTTACACTCAATTCTGGTTAGAGCTCTGAAGTGACCTGATTCTGGACACTGCCATTGTAATGATCTCCACATAAAGATCACGTGTGACTGGGTTGGTAGTGACAGTGTCTAGTTATTTAGTATCTACTTCCCATATTGCATGCTTAAAAGTATTTATTTTAGTGGTTTTCTATAATTAGTGAAATGTCAAGAATTGCTGCTACATTTAGAAACTATGTTTCAATAAATATGTTTATATTATTTTTAGAAAAATATAGTTCTGAAACTAAGAAATCATTGATTTTTTACTGTGTTAAATGCCATTTATCTTTCAGAGGATCATAAAATAGGAGTTGGAGCAGTCATTTGGGCAGAAAAACAATCTGTAAGTATTAAACTAATTGTTTAAACATTTAACTTTGATTTTCTTTAAATATATTTCAACCTTAAATACATTATTTTGTTGACCCATAGGCATTAATATTTTATATGGTGATTTTATGTCCTGTAAGCATTTCTTTATTCCCTCAACAATTTTATGGATAGATTCATTTATTTAGCAAACATTTGTTAAACACCTTCTACAGGGTTGTCACTGTGCCACAGTGTACAGTGGGGAGTTAAAGACCACATTCCTGCCCTTCATGGCCTTCTGTAATCTATTCATACAGACAGAGCAGTGAAAAAGAGACTGGTATGTAAGAGTGATTATAACATGATACCATGAAAGCTCAGAGGATCAACCTTAACTCTGCTTGGAGAAATGAGTAAAATATTCTTGGAGGCGATAAGATGTTATATGTCTTGAAAAATGAATAGGAATTTACCAGGCAGAGCAGGTTCATGAGACTAGGACAGTGGTTCTCAACCTTCCTAATGCCGCGACCCTTTAATACAGTTCCTCATGTTGTGGTGACCCCCAACCATAAAATTATTTTCGTTGCTACTTCATAACTGTAATTTTGCTACTGTTATGAATCGTAATGTAAATATCTGATATGCAGGATGTATTTTCATTGTTACAAATTGAACATAATTAAAGCATAGTGATTGATCACAAAAACAATATATAATTATATATGTGTTTTCCGATGGTCTTAGGCGACCCCTGAGAAAGGGTCGTTCGAACCCCAAAGGGGTCGCGACCCGCGGGTTGAGAACCGCTGGACTAGGAGGATAGCATGCAGAGGTGAGGGGTGTGAGAGGGAGTTGGGAAATGGAAGGGATTTGGCGTGTTGGAGTAGAGTCTTATGCTTAATAGTGTGGCGGAGGAAATTGGTCTTGACCCTGAAGAACTCTGTATTTCATGTAGAGAGTTTGGACTTTATCCTTTAGGTAGTGGAATACACTAGCAAGTGCTAAGCAGCAGAAATAAAAGACAAGCCACATATTAAATTTTAAATGTTATAGAAGCCATATTTAGAAAAAGGTGAATTAATTTTAAGAATATATTTTGATCTAATCTATCCAAAAATATCATTTCAACATGTAATCCCTATAAAAGATTATTAATGACTTGCACAGAGGGCCAAGCGAGTGCCACAGTGGCTTCCAGAGGGAGGGTCAGGTGAAGACACAGGGAGAAGATGTCTGTTTACAAACCAAGGCAAGAAGTCTTATAGGAAACCAGTCCTGCCATTGATCTTGGACTACAGAGCTTTGAGTAGATCTAAGACGGCGGTGGAGTAGGTGGAAGCTAAACTCCCCTCCTCCCAGGACCAAATTAGAGTTATAACTAAACTATATAAGAACCATCCTGAATAACCAACTGAAGATGAGCTGAAGGAAAACCTTATAACCAAGGACTTACAGGAGAGCCCACGTTGAGACTGGTGGGAAGGGTGGAGACACAAAAAGGGGCAGCAGCTGAGGTTCTGGAGGGATATCTCAGCTCCGTGAGGGGCAGTTCTCCTGAGAAGCATGGGGTCTACACCCCTCGCTGGGCTCCCCAGGCTAGAGCACCGGAGCTGAGAAGAGGCACCCAGAGTCCTGGCCGTTGTGGCTCAGTGATTAGAGCTTCAGTCCTCACCCCAAAGGGTCGTAGTTTCAAATCCCGGTCAAGGGCACATACCTGGGTTTCAGGGTTGATCCCCAGCCCCAGTTGGGGCACATGCAGGAAGCAACCAATCGATGGTCTCTCTCACATAGATGTTTCTCTCCCTCCTCCCTTCCTCTTCTCCACTCTCTCTAAAAATAAATGGGAAAAATATCCTCAGGTGAGGATTAGCCAAAAAATAAAAATAAATTAAATAGAGGCACCCACATAACATCTGGCTGTGAAAAGCTCCAGGGTTTCTGTTCACTGGGGAGAAAAGGCTAGAGATACAGGTGCCCTCTTAAAGGGCCAATGCATAAAACGTCATTCACAGTGACAAGTCCCATGAGGAGAGTGGGGTTAGTGGCTTTGGGGAGGGAGCTGAAGGGACAGCCATCAGAATCCCTGTGCTGAATCATTCGCCTATACCCGTGGTCGGCAAACTGCGGCTCTCGAGCCACATGTAGCTCTTTGGCCCCTTGAGTGTGGCTCTTCCTAAGCCTTAGGAGTACCCTAATTAAGTTAATAACAATGTACCTACCTATATAGTTTAAGTTTAACAAATTTGGCTCTCAAAAGAAATTTCAATCGTTGTACTTTTGATATTTGGCTCTGTTGACTAATGAGTTTGCCGACCACTGGCCTATACCACAGATGCCATCTTTCTTTCTTTTTGTTTTTTAATTGTTTTATTGCTTAAAGTATTACAAAGAGTATTATATATGTCTCCTTTTTATTTTTTCCCCTTGACCTTCCCCTAGCCTCCCATACCCCCCAGTGTCTTGTGTTTATTGGTTATGCTTATATGCATGTTGGCCAGCAGGCCTTGATCGGGCGATTGGGACCTGCGGGCTGGGGGCAGCTCCTGCATTGAGCGTCTGACCCCTGGTGGTCAGTGCACATCCTAGCTGGTTGTTCCACTGTCCAGTCGATTTGTATGTTACACTTTTATATATATAGACTAGAGGCCCAGTGCACGAAATTCATGCATGAGGGGCGGGCCCCTCAGCCCAGCCTGCACCCTCTCCAATCCGTGATCCCTCTCACAATCCAGGACCGCGGGGGATGTCCAACTGCCAGTTTAGGGATTGGGCCTAAACCAGCAGTCAGACATCCCTCTCACAATACGGGACCACTGGCTCCTAACTGCTCACCTGCCTGTCTGCCTGATTGCCCCCAAATGCCCCCCCTGCTGGCCTGGTCCCCCAACTGCCCCCCCCCCACCAGCCTGGTCGCCCCTAAATGCCCCATCCACCAGCATGGTCACTACCAGCATGGTTACCCCTTACTGCCCCCCTCACTTGCTGGCCTGGTTGTTCCAACGGCCCCCCTCTGCCGGCCTGGTCATCCCTAACTGCCCCCCCCCACCAGCCTGGTCGCCCCTTACTGCCACCCTGCTGGCCTGGTTGCCCCACGCAGCCTGCTGCTCAGTCCTTTGGTCATCCCTCACTAACCCCCTTTGCTGCCTGGTAACCCACTCAGCCTGTTCAGTTGTCCGTTCGGTTGTTTCAGATGTGATGGCCCCTGGCTCTTTATATATATAGATAGTACCAGAAGTCCTAGCTACAGCAGTCAGATAAGAAGAACAAATAAAAGGCATCCAAATTGGAGAGGAAGAAGTCAAACTTATTATTTGTGGATGACATGATACTGTATACAGAGAACTCTAAAGATTCCACCAAAACACTACTAGAACTGATAGATGAATTCAATAAAGTAAAAGCATACAAAATAAATATCCAGAAATCAGTTGCATTTTATAGGCCAATAATGAACTAGGAAACTAAGAAAACAATCCCATTCATAATGGCTTCAAAAAGAATAAAATATCTAGGAATAAGGACCTGTATTCAGAAAATTATAAGACACTGAAGAAAGAAATTGAAGAAGATACAAAGAAGTGGAAGCATATACCATGTTCATGGATAGGAAGAATTAACATCATTAAAATATCCATATTACCCAAAGCAGTCTGTAGATTCAGTGCAATTCCTATTAAGATACCAATGGTATATTTCACAGAGCTAGAGCAAATATGCCAAAAATGTATATGGAACCACAAAAGACCCCAAATAGCAATAGCAATCTTGAGAGAGAGAAAAAAAGAAAGTTGGAGGAATCACACTACATGATATCAAGCTACACTACAAGGCCATAGTAATAAAAAAAATACACACATGGTACTGGCATAAAAGCAAACATAGATCAATAGAACAGAATAGAGAGCCTAGAAATAAATCCAGGCCTTTATAGTCAATTAGTATTTTACAAGGGAGGCAAGAACATACAATGGGGTAAAGATAGTCTATTGAATAAATGATGTTGGGAGTATTAGACAGACTCATGCAAAAAAATAAAATAAAACTAGCCCACCCAGCAAATGGAGGAAAATGAGCTAGGATCAGAAAAGACTTCAGGAAGGAGATGATAGTTAAGGAAAAAAAAAAATTCTTGGAACACATAGGAATTAAACTGCCCGGATGTGAATCCTAGCTCTATCACCTACTGGTTATATGATCTTGGGCAACGTACTTAGCCTTGATTTGCTTATCTTTAAAATAGAAATAATAAGCCCAGCTGGCCTGGCTCAGTGGTTGAGTGTCAATTTATGAACCAGGAGGTTGTGGTTTGATTCCCAGTCAGGGCACATGCCAGGGTTGCGGGCTCAATCCCCAGTATGGGGCATGCAGGAGGCAGCCAATCAATGATTCTCTCTCATCATTGATGTTTTTATCTTTCCCTCTCCTTCCTCTCTGAAATAAATAACCATATTTTTTAAATAGGGATAATAATATTTGTATGGATCTCACAGACTTCTCATGAGAAATCAATGGAATAATCCCAACAAGTATCAGAATAGTGCTGGCATATAACAGCAGCTTAATACATGTTAGCTATTATTATTTGGGATGTCTCAAAGAATGGGTAGGATTTTCATAACTGGAAAAAGAAATTTATAACTGAGAATAATAAATAATTAAAGTTATAATGAAGCTGAAAAAAAAAACTAGCCCACCTTCTTACATCATACACAATAAACTCAAAATGTATTAAAGACTTAAATGTTAGACTTGAAACCATAAAAATTCTAGAAAAAAACATAGGCTGTAAAAGCTCAAACATTTCTCATAGAATATTTTTTTCTGATATATCTACTCAGGCAAGGGAAACAAAAGAAAATACAAATAAATGCAGCTATATCAAACAAACGTTTTTGCACAGCAAAGGAAACCATCAACAAAATGAAAAGACAACCCACTGAATGGGAGAACATATACACCGATATATCTGTTAAGGGGTTAATATCCAAAATTTATAAAGAACTTAAAAATCTCAATACCAAAAAACCC